GTTAACTATAATAACACTGGTCACAGACCAGTATGTAATGTGATTTGAGACAGTATTTTAACATAAAAATGTGCATATTTGAATAATTTCCTGATGTTTCTAGCCTTTCACTTTGGGATGATTTCCTCCTGGTATCTGTTTTTCACAGACCTAATGTGTGTTCATTAACAGCCGCCGAGTCACTCAATCTGTCAATCACTCCACTTACTCCACGGCTTCTTTTCTTTCAGTCTCGGGTGACTTCATACTGAGAGACAATCATCTCACTTCATTAGACAAACACAAACAACCCAGCACTCCCGCAGGAGTCGCAGACAAACAGAACGACAGACAGAGAGCGAGAGAGAGACGGGTGAGCACTCTGATCTGATCAATAATCACCTGCCAGACGCTTTGCGCTTTACAGCGGAGGGGTGCATGCTGGGAAAAGCAGTTTCACGGATTAACTGATCATTATTTTCAAGCAAAAGCGGTCATTCGTTGTCGTTCTCGGGGGAGAAAATTGTCTAAAAGAGTTTAGACTCTATGAAAACACAATGACTTTCACTATAAAAGCCAATGGACGCATCAGCGTTAGTTCTGCTGGACCTGAGCTCAGATCTATCCGTATGAAAGATCCCGGTCTTCTCAGATAAACAACCCAATGAGCCCAAGGAGGATTGCATTTTATTACCATTCACACCAGGAGACATAACTAGAAAATCTATTATTATCGATGTTGGAAACCGTTTTAGCTGCTTAATAATTTTTGTGTTGGAGTTCTTAAAAGAAATTAATACTTTTATTTTATTATTTGTTTCAATTGATCAAAAGTGACAGTAAAAACATTTATAATGTAACAAAAGATTTCTGCTTCAAATAAATGCTGTTCTTTTGACATTTCTATTCATCAAAGAATCTTGATAACATCGTTTCCATAAATTCAGTTTTGCATCACAGGAATAAATTACATTTTAAAGTATATTCAGATAGAAAATAATTATTTTAAATTATAATAATATTACACAATTTTTACTGTATTTTTTATCAAATAAATCAGTCTCGGTGAGCATAAGAGACCTCTTGCAAAAACATTACAAATCTTATTGAAATATGGTTTCCATAAATTCAGCTTTGCATCACAGGAATAAATTACATTTACATTTCTATTTCAAATAAGCGTTGTTCTTTCTATTCAGTACTCAGAAATAAAATTATCCAATTTTCCACAAAAATATTGGGCAGCACAACAGTTTTCAACATTGATAATAATCAAAAATGTTTCTTGAGCAGCAAATCAGCATATTAGAATGATTTCTGAAGATCATGTGATGCTGAAGACTGGAGTAATGATGCTGAAAATTCACAGCAATAAATTACATTTTACAATATATTCTCACAGAAAATAGCTATTTTAAATTATAATTATTTTACACAATTTTTACTGTATTTTGGATCAAATAAATCAGACTTGGTGAGCTCTTTCAGAAACAATAAAACCATTCCACACTTCAGTAGTGCATCGTCAAAACTAAGAATAAAACTTGTGTAACTTGTTTCGTAACAGCATCAGTTACATCCTCATTCGGTCAATCAAGTCAATGGAATCATGTGTCAGTTCAGACAGAGGTCTGTGTATTCCCCAGCGGAGCACCAGCTCCGGGACCAATCTGGTGGAAAGGGATCAGTGTGTGTGTGTGTTTCCATGGAACATCCTGACCCAATGTATGAGAAAGCGGCCTCAAGCTGCTTGAATGAAAAGAGGGAATCGAACAGAACAGACAGAGAAATGCAACAACCCCCTGCACCTCTACCCAGCATGCTTTTGTGTTTGGATGTGTATATAACCACCAGTTCCCACATAGTCGACCAGATCCACGGGAGATTAATCTCCACTGACAACATCAGCTGCTCTCACACGCTCAAAATAAAGCTTCCAAAAGAGAGTTTTCGCAGCGATGACATTCAAGAACCATTTCTGGTTCCTCCGAGATCAGTTCTTATTAAAAGAAGCGTTTTGTCTTAGTGCAAAGAAGTTTTTAATAATCTAAACTATGGAAGCTTATTTCCACCATGGCATTAAAAAATAAAAAAAGGTACATATGATTTTTTTATCTCACAATTCTGACTTGTTTCCCCTCGCCATTGTGAGAACTCACAATTCTTAGAAACTAAGTCAAAATTATGATATATAAACTCACAATTCTGAGAAAAAAAGACTGAACTGTTACATAAACTCGCTATTCTGAGGATAAAAAGTCTGAAATGTGAGATATAAATTCGCAATTCTGAGAAAAAAGACCAAATTGTGAGATATGAGATATAAACAACTCTGAGAAAAAAAGTCAGAACTGTGAGACAAAAACTTGCAAATTCTGAGAAAAAAGGCTGAAATGCGAGATATAAACTCGCAATTGTGAGAAAAAAAGTCTGAAATGTGAGATATTTTATAAAAAAGATAAAAAACACTGAAATGTAAGATAAAAACTCATAATTCTGAGAAAGAAGTCCAAACTATGAGATATAAACTTGCAAATTCTGAGAAAATAGATCGAATTGTAAGATATAAATTTGCAATTCGAAATTATGAGATTTAAAGTCACAATGAGCTTCCAAGCTTCCATACTAAAGAAACTTTTTCCACTATAAAGAAACCTTTGTGGATTGGAAAGATTCCATGGATGTTAAAGGTTCTTAATGGAACCATCAAAGCCAATAAAGAACCTTTATTTTTTCATTAGCGCCTCACTATGTGCTGAACATAAAGAAACCGAGGGAATGTTCCAGGTTAACCTCCATCAACAGCAAAGCCTCCATTACAAAATAAAATAACAGTGACTCACGTCTCCTAACAATCGAGTCATAACTTGGCCTGGAAGTGAGAAAAGGACGGCGAGAGACGGTTCATCTGAGCAGGACTCGTTCTGATAGGTTAACCGACAACTATGGCAACAGCAGCGGCGTTGAGGCCCGATGCTCGGAGCTCGCAGGGTCACACAACACCCCGCTATTTCTCATTCCAGTCAGGAACGACCCACTTCACACACCACCCTGGGAAAAACGGCCTCTCTAAAACACACACACATGAAGTCTGAATGCAGACGATACACTCACACACACGAGGCGCTCTCAAAAGAAGACACAAGCCGCTGAGATCTGCAGAGAGGTTTTCACCTGTCACTGTGAGGACAGGAGGAGCATGAGATGTATGTTGATAAGGAGGAAGGTAAAACACTCTTCGTTTAGCTGCTTTGGCTTGATCTCTCTCTCTCTCTCCTGTCGTCCCAGAGGGGATGTTCCCGGACAGATAAAAGGTGGACCACGGCGAACCCGTTTAAATGCTTTTCTAAGGAAACACTTTGAAGTTTAAACAGGAAGTGCATGCTTTCCTGCATAACAATGTCATTTACATCATCCCGTCCGAGACGTAAAGAAAAACACGAGAAACATCGACCGGTGAATCTCACGAAACATGTCAGATCTCACTCCAAAATCAATACAAAAAAATACGAAATTATATTCAGATTTCAGAAATTTCTGAATTTTTTGCAGTCTGACATTATTTTCAGACATTCCCAAATTATCATCACTTTGATGTGAAAATATATATCATATATATTTAAAGCAATATATAATATTAAAATTTAAAAACAAAATCGAAATTTAAAACATTATATAATATGTATTGCTGTAATACAAAAGAAATTACAATATTACAGTAATAAGACTTTAATGAGAATCAACATGTTGAATAACGATAAATGTAAAGATTTTCAGAATCCACAAGATTTTTTGCATTCTGAAATTATTTTAACGACAATCAAACATTTTCACACAATCTGTAGTTACTGTAATGCAAAACAATATATAATATATAGCCTATATATAAAACAATGTTATATAAAATGTTTAAATTTTTTATTTTAAATGTGTATTATATTGTATTTATTAAAAAAAAAATAGGTATTTCAATTTAAAAATAAAATTTAAATGTAAAACATTGCATATTTATTACTGTAACAAAAAATACATTACAACAATTAGAATGAAATCAAAATCAACATTCAAAATAACGATAAATTTAAAAATTAAGAAAATACCTTTTAGAGTCAATAAGATGTTTTGCATTGACATTATTTTCTTGACAACTAAACATATTTCCAAATAATTTGTAATCTAATCTCTAATCGAATCTAATATAATATTAAATAATATATAAAAAAAACATTTAAAAATTAATGAATGAAAAAAATTACATATACTGCAATGCAAAAATATAATCAATATTAAATAGATATAACATTTAATATTTAAAAATACATTTAAAAATTAATTAATGAAAAAAATTACATACACTGCAATGCAAAAATATAATCAATATTAAATAGATATAACATTTAATATTTAAAAATACATTTAAAAATTAATTAATGAAAAAAATTACATACACTGCAATGCAAAAATATAATCAATATTAAATAGATATAACATTTAATATTTAAAAATACATTTAAAAATTAATTAATGAAAAAAATTACATACACTGCAATGCAAAAATATAATCAATATTAAATAGATATAACATTTAATATTTAAAAATAAATTAACTATAACAGTATTTGTACTGTAATATAAATAAATTACGGTAATTACAATCTAATGAAAATCAACATTTAGAATAATGATACATGCTTAATGTAATACCATAAAACATAAAAATAGGCATTTATTTTTTTTAAATGCAAACTATAAGGTGGTGAAATGTCACTAGGACATGTTTTCTTGAGATTGAACCCATAACCTTCAGGCATGCTCTCCAACCAGAGCAGAAACACTTTGGAAAAACTTTAACTTGTGTAATTTTTTTTTCCGGGATCTGAGGAGACATCTGCTCAAGCTTTCTCAGAGAAGACACACAAATCTCTTTCTGAGACCTTGTTTGGCTTTAAACGAGCGCAGAAGTTGTGAATTCAGCATTACGGCGGCTCTGAGCTTCAAGACGGAGGTTTAAAGTGACGTACCTGTAGTCTGAGGAATAGTTCCTAATTCCACCTGTTTGCCCTCTTTGTTTTTCTTTTGATCCTCCTGTCTCTCTCTCTTTATCTCTAGCTTTCTATTTCCACCACAGAGCCGTGCTAATGGTGTCTGTGAGAGCGACAGACTGAGTGTGTGTGTGTGTGTGTGTGAAGGGAGGGATTGTTTGTGTATTTGCTGCGAGCTGAAAGCCCAGCTGACTCGTGATCACACTCTCATTAATACAAAGTCATTCCAGGGACGAGAGAGAAAGAGAGATGCTGAGAGAGAGCTGTCTGTCAGTCAGACGAGGATAAAAGTATGAAAGAAAACAGAATATATTCTGTCTGCTGCGTGAAATTAAACTCCAGCACCTTTCACTCGATGAAGTTTCCCTCGACACACACTGAGGTAATGCATCAGACCAGCCGTATAACATGGTTTCAAACGAGCGGCATCACATAAGAAGATTATCTGGTGTAAATGCATTTCTTTCAGCTTACTCTGGTACAAATAAATCAAGTCTTCTGTCTGAAAACAGGCCAACAGCAGCACTAACACCTGGCAGCGGTCTCAAGCCCATCCACACACACACACACACATGATAGAACTAATCTCAGAACAAGAGAGCTACTGACGTCTTACAGCAGTTTGGTTAGTTTAATGTGTTTTCTGCAGGCACACAGCCGATCTTAACCCTGACAGCCTGACATATGAAATTATAGTCGGAAAAAAATATCTATATCTATATATATCTATCTATATATACAGTATATATATATAGTGTTGGAAAGGTTATTTTGGAAATGTAATAGGTTACAGATTACAAGTTACCCTGTTTAAAATGTAATAATTAGTGGAACTGTTTCAATTACTTTATTAATGTAACTGATTACATTTGATTACTTTTCTAAATTTCTAATGTTTTCAACTGTTAATCATTTTCAAATATGTAAACTAGGCAGGGTTAACCTTACAGTAGCACTCAACACTGATTACTGTCAGACTTTCAAAATCCTTTATCACTTAAATTAAGATTAGAATCATTTAATTTTAAAGCACAGTCACCACAAAATCAGACTTTAACACCTATTTTCACTTTGTGATCATTCTGAGGTTAAATACAGATTTAAAATCCTAACAAGAAATAGTTTAATAGCTATGATACTGTTTTAGAAATCAAATCTTTGCATAGGAAACAGGAAGCACATCTAACAATGCCTTGAAAAAAAAAGTTAATCTTAAAAAATAAAGCATATACATAATCCCAAATAGGAAATAAAACGGTTATTGAAGGAGCATGTGTCCTATTCTGTGTCCTAAACTCCTGAAACATTGTCTCATATTTTAGAGCAGTCAGTGCAATTTATGAAAGAAATCTGTATGTTTTCTAAACCTGTATGTGGATGTGTGTGTGAAAAAAATTCAGATGTAACCCCCGGTGTAATTGTTAACATTTTCATAAGTATCTTTAATTTAATTACACATTTTTTCTCAGTAACTGTAACTGATTACAATTACATTTATTTTGTAATTAAATTACGTAATT